TGCCATAGTCTCTTATTCTTTGTGCCTTGACCAATTGAGGGTCTCTGTGTTAACTGTCATCAATTGCAGAAGGAAGCTTCTCTGATGACAGCTGAGATGCACTGTTCTACAGCTATGTTCAATTACAGTGCAACAAAATGGTTACTTTCTTAAAAGACATGAACTATGAAGACATGCAACACACACAACATACATACATACATACACACACACACACAAATTGATCAAGAAGGACACAAAAGCACATTATCAGCCTCAGGAGAAAGGTTCCCACTAAATGACATCTTTTCTAAATTTCTGTGAATGTGCTTATACTGTGTAGTCTGAGTTGTTTTTAATTGCATTATACTCTTTTTTTTTTAAATCTTTTATTTTTTTTTTATTAATTACACTTTATTCATTTTGTATCCCCCCATGAGCCCCTCCCTCCTCCCCTGCCGATCCCACCCTTCCTCCCCTTTCTGCATGCATGCCACTCCCCAAGTCCACTGATAGGGGAGGTCCTCCTCTCCTTCTTTCTGATCTTAGTCTATCAGTTCTCATCAAAAGTGGCTGCATTGTCCTCTACTGTGGCCTGGTAAGGCTGCTCCCCCCTCAGGGGGAAGTGATCAACGAGCAGGCCAATCAGATTATGTCAGAGGCAGTCCCTCTTCCCATTACTATGGAACCCACTTGGACACTGAACTGCCATGGGCTACACCTGTGCAGGGGTTCCAGGTCATCTCCACAAATAGTCCTTGGTTGGAGTATGAGTCTCTGGGAAGTTCCCTGTGTTCAAATTATCTTGTTCTGTTGCTCTGCTTGTGGAGTTCCTGCATTATACTCTTAACCTTCACAACTAAAAGAGAGAGACAGAGCTCAACAAGCAGAAATGCATTACTTTAGGGGTGTCACAAATTGTCACGCTTCATCACAACTTCACAAACTTGGATGTGCTATCACATCAGATGCGTTAATGCTTTGGGCTATCAGAAACAGCAGTGTAAAGAGGGACATTTTTTACAGCAGGCTGAAGCAAAGGTTTCCAGACACCAACAGTAAGAGACAGTTCACTGGAGAGAATCCTTCTCAAATCTCACCAACTGTTCAGCTGTTCCAAAAAGAATCTTTCCTACGTGCTGAAAATGTTAATTTTGTCCCACAAACGAACATAATTGGGCAAGAAAAAAATAAAATAAGCGAAGGAACTAAAGGAGACATTGCCATGCTTTTTCCCCCTTAAAGAAAAGAGTGTTAATGATACTAAATATAGAGGAAGGCTTATTCAAACAAACTAAATTAACTGTCATCTAAACAACTTTACTTTTTAAAAATCTATTTGCAAGCTTTATTTTGTTGGCAAATAAGTGTAATTTATTGTATAAAAGAAGTATCATTCTTAATTATCCACTATTCAAGATTTATGAATATCAATAGTTTTGAAAGAGAAAAAGCATTCTTTTCCTTTCTCATCACCGCTCTAAACCAGCAATAACATTAATGACAAGCAAGGATCTAGAAGATTCCTGACAACAGACTCCCAGGTCATGAAACTTACATGTTTTGCTGTGATTAAATCTATGCCAGTGATTAAATAAAATACAATTTAAATGTTTTTAAGGTAAGTACTGATAAAAATTTTTTTTTCCTTGTAAGGTTACACCCCAATTTCACCACAGCAGAAGTAAAAACTAGCTTATTTCTTCTCTCCTTTCCATTTCTTATGTGCTATTGAAGAATCTAAGACAATTTACATTTCAAACAAATTTAGAGGTGGAATGTATACATACATATTATTCACATATATACATATATAAAGAAAGAAATAGAGCTGGAGAGTTGGGGGAGGTTGGAACATTTCAAAGCCTTATTCTACAGAATGAAAACAACACAGGCCTGCTTAAGTGAGCCTCCCAGCTCTTTCCCCTTCTTTAATGGTAATACTAATTTACGATTCCCCAAATCTCACAACTTTATATAACATAATCCATTCAGCTATAAAATGTAAAGGTCAAAGCACTGCCATTAAGATAACTAAAAATGACAGTTACATTCACTCAAAAATGTCACCTGTTTTAAGGTATCAAAAGTACCCCTGGATAGCCCCCTGAAAAAAAATTCCTTAAAAAAGAAAATGCTCAAAGAAATTTATTTGCTAACTGAAATGGAATTTCACTTGAGAATATGACTGCAGAAAAGCTGTATTACCCATATTTCATTCCCCTGCAAAAATTCACAAACAATGAAAGAAAAAATTACAAGGGCTTATTCTCAGCCACCCAGAAAGTTAGCGTTATAAAATCGGCATAGCTCCCCAAATTTATTTAAAAACACAGCTTCTCAATTCAGCTCTACTGAAATTTTGAGGCCAAATAATTTTTTGTGTGGCTGCTCAAATGTCTCCTGGAGAGGTCTGCTGGAACATATGAATGTGACCGGTCAGTACCCCATCCACCCTATCCCTTATTTTATCATTCTCTAGCCTTGATACAATCAAACTGACCACAGATTCTGCTCAATTATTGTCTATCTCCACTCCTTAAAATGAAAGCTCCACATAAGAATTATTTTTAAAATTTATATAGTTAATTCATCGTGTGTGTGTGTGTGTGTGTGTGTGTGTGTGTGTGTGTGTGTGTGTATCAATGTGCCATAGCGTGCACGTGGAGGTCAGAGGACAATCTGCAAGAGTCGCTCTTTCCTTCTAACATGTGAGTTCTAGGAACTAGGTTTGAGGACAAGGGCCCTTATTCAGTGAGCTATATTGCTGTCCCTAATGATCACTTTTATTCAATGCTGGACTTGAACTTACACCTTTGTTCACGTTAGGCAAGTGTTCTACCATGGAGCTATATTCCTAGCCTCAAGAATTCTTACCTGTTTTGCTTTCTAAAATATCCACATCTAAAGAAGCCTATGTAAGGGCTTCCTATTATCTGAACAAATGGTACTTTATATTGCTACTCTTTTTTAAACAATAAGCACTCACTGTAACATTAAAACAGTGTTTCAATTCATAAACATCCTAAGCTATGCTATCGATAAAACAGGCATAAAAAAGTAAATACCACTAAATAAAATATGAACACACATATATGCTTTCCCCTGAATATAAACCATTTGTTTCTAAGAGGTTGGACAAGGAATTGGAAGTAGGGGACCCAGAAGGAGTTGGAGGGGGGGTATTATAATCAAAATATATTATTACATGCATGAAAATTCTCAAAGAATAACCACTATATCTTAAAAGAAATCAAAAGTAAAGTATGCTTTCTTAAGAGCAAAATTGAAATAATGCTAACACATGAATCTCACAGCTCTTGCTACAAAACTAAAAGCTGCCTGGGAAGCATGTTCGAACTGTAAAACAAGTATTCATGACTTGACACCAACAGGGAGACAGAATGGGCAGAGTCAGGCCAGGAGCCTTCATTTTCTAATTCTATGAAACAAGAAACTCAGGACCTAAAATAAGCTATAGAAAGAAACTTTAAAAGCATTTTGTATCAACATTACCAATAATGGAAAAACATTAGAAGGAAAAAAATAGTTTGCTGATCATTTATGATTCTTGCTACAGTAAAATCACCCTTTATAGAACCAGAGAGAAAATACATCTCCATAGAAACAATATCCCCTAGCATGTGACACTAAGAAATACAGTTTTCTATGCAGATCTTCACAATGTATGAGTACTCATAAAAGAGGGGATTTGTTGGGGGACTGAAGAGAACACAGGTTGATAATCAGACAGGACTGGACATAAACTTTGGCTCTGCCACTTAGTTTCATCAATCTAAATTTGATTTGAGCCACAGTTTTTTTTTGGTTATTTTTGCTGTTTGTTCTCTTTTACATTTTTAATAAGCAAAATGTATTAAGTCCCACCTCATAAATCTGTTCAGAAGATAAAGATAGCACAAACCATCTAATTCCAGGCCTGGCACATTCCTGGTTATGGTCTAGCAGCAGGCTTTTGGGCATTCCATTCATAGTTACAGTAACACCCCATCTCTGAATGTCTTTGTTGGCGTTACTACACTAGGCATCACTGGGAATTCCAATAGCAGGGGCTGGTGCTGTCAATTGCCTCATAGTAGCCAAGGCAGATAGTTATTTGAGGCCAAACAAAAGGTTCTTAAGTTTTATAGGGGTTTTCTAGTGGCGGTGGTTTTACCATTTGTTTTATAAGTTCAGAGGCTGTACTACAGCTTAAGGAGAAAGTGTTTTACCACTGTATCACTTATACCACATGTACAAAACTCAGGGTTCCATCTCCAGACATAAATATATATTCATTGCCTTTACCCACTGAGCCATCTTGCTGGCCCTAATTATCACTTTTGTAATAATATATAATAAATATAATAATAATAATACATAAAACTATGTAATGTTTCTGACTACAGTCATGGAACATGATCATTCTAATACCATCTTTCTTTTTAAAGATTTATTTATACAGCATTCTGCCTGCGCACCAGAAGAGGGCACCAGATCTCACTATAGAGGTTATGAGCCACCATGTGGTTGCTGGGAATTGAACTCGACCTTTGGAAGAACAGCCAGTGTTCTTAACCTCTGAACCTTCTCTCAAGCCGCATAAGACCATCTTTAAAGATAAAGAAGTTCTGCCATCATTTAGCAAAAATCCTGAATCTGCTATGGAGTTTAGATGAGATAACCAATTTCTCTTTACAGGATCCTAGTTTCAACTCTTACTCCAATGGGTAGCAGTTTTTGTATTTTGTACCTTCCAATTATATAAAAGAATTTCTTTCTCTATAAGAATGTCTAGAAGACAATTTAAAAGTTAATACACAAACTTCATTCTGTACTTATATACTTTTAGAAATAAAGCAAACCTTTATTGCTTTTGTTTGGGGTAAATAAAAGATATTCTATTTAATGACAATGCTATACTATAAGTGTTTCAAAAGACCTATCTTAAGTATGTATTTGCATTCTCATAACAAAATGCATGTTAGAAACTGTGTTCTAAACACACAAAGGAGACATACCTGGGATGATGTCATTGATGTGCAGGAGAATTGTACTTTCAACACTTGCAAAACTACAAAGCTGTACTCCATCAAACCTTCCATCCCAGTTGCCAATAGGGTTATCCTAGAAATGCCATAAAAAAAATTTTAAACACAAAGAAAAATGTTTCAAAGGTGTTTTCATACTTTACTCTGCATTAATAACACTACCTGAGGTTTAAAGAGATATTGTTTACATAAGAAAATTCAGTAGGAATGCATTATTTTACCCAGACACCTACCCTTAAAAGCTAATTATACATTTAGATTCTCTAGGCACTTTGCTCATCTAAATTATTATATGCCTTTCTATAAGTAGAATGGTAGTTATTTCAGAATTCTCTTGTCATTCATGCATATACAAGACTTTCCTCAAAAATGGATATTTCCTAAGTTATACTCTACTATTATCAGCAGCCACATGGGTATGGACAAGGTATGGACAGATGAGCCAGTGAAACAACTGCTCTGAGTACCAATTTGTGTAGAAAGTATCCCTGGAAACAGAAAGGCATGAGAAAAGTTGTACCTGATGAACATTGTTCTCAAGAAGCTTAACTGGAGTGTTTGGAACTGATGTTTGCATAATAATGGACGGAACATAGGTAGAACTGGCAAGCAAGCATCAAGACAGCCTGCCTGAACTAACAAGATGATCCCCTAGCCCACCATCAAAGAAAGGGAGGGTCCTCACAGTTCCTGTCACATTTAAAGTCTGGACCAAAGAATCTATAGCAATACAAAGATTAATGACCTTCTTTCTCCAACCTTCTCTCTACCCAGCCCACAACTTCTCCTCTGAAACACCAAACTCATATTTAAAGAATACTGGTTCTTAATTACTAGCAATGCTGAGAAGCCTACAGGTCCTAATCTGGCTCTAATTTCACATGGTAAGAGTCTGGAAATTTCTTAATTTGTACTTAACTAATGAGTATCTAACAAAATTTCTAAGCAAAGATAACAGAAACAGGCTAGAACATTCATGCCCTACCATCTCTTCAGGGTGTTTCTGAATAGGTAAAAATGACTACTAAAATTATCCCACACTGTGAGTCCACTGCTCCTACCCTCTCCTAATACACCCTGGTGTTGATAATTATAAAGGAATCTCTATCCATAATGAACTTTTGTCCATATTTTCAATCTATGAAGAAAATGTTCTCAACCTCTTTCTTCTCATTCACTTAATGACACAGGTTAATTCAATATGTGCATTGGGGTGTATCCATTATTAATAAGTGTGATTATTCAGTAATAAAAATGAGTGACACAAACAAAAGAGGTGATACCATATAACCTCAATTCTGAGGTACCTACAGCAAGCAAATTCCCAATCTGTAGTTAACAGGCATGGGCAAACTGGACAGAATTTAATAGGAACAGAGCTCAGCATGAAATGGTGAAAAAGTTCTGCAGACAGTGGAGAAGGCATAATGAGACTATACCAAATGCCACTGACCTGTTAATTCAATGGTTAAGGTGAAAACTTTCTTATTTATATTACATATTTTACCACAATAAGACAACAGGTTTAAACAACGCAAATCCTGTGGACATACTCTGTCTGCTCAAAAGCAGTGTGTTTTTTTTCCCCCCTGGGAATTTTCTATTAATGAAAATTTTACATTCTTATTAGAAAAAATTAGAAAAAAAATCAATAAAACTTTATCAAATATACATAAAAGAGTACAAAATTCTTTTAAAAGGAAAATATAGTATCATACAATGTATTTGGGCTTGGTCAGGGAATATTGGTTTGTTTTATTGGTTTGGTTTGGTTTTTGCTTTTGTCTACTGGTTAGTTATAATAAGGAGAATTTAAAGACAGAGTATTTTCCCAAATTATTAAAACTGGAAAAAATTGTAGTGGACACATTCCATATCTGCTCACATGTCCTATTTCAATGTTCCTGTGCCAAAGAAAAACAGAACTGTCTTCTTTAAAGTACTGTAAATTAGTCCTTTTTAAGTATTCAACTTATACCTAAATTGGTAATGAAACTAATACACATATTCATAATAATATAATCCAAAATTTCCTTACCATGTCTACACCAACAAAATATCCTAGGCTCTCTTTTCCTGGCAAAACATCACAGAATATTACTGTTCCAGATTCTATACTTTCTCCAACCTTCAAAGAAACTCTGGAGTTTATTTCCAAAGGGGGAGGTTCAACCTGCATTGTATCCCCTGGACCTGCAAAATCACTTTCCAATCCATTGTCATCATCTTCTATGAGTTCCAGCTTGTCCAACGCAACAAACACACCACAGTCTTCATCGCACTGGAAGAGCTGCTTCCCTTGATATACCCCGTCAGTGAATCCTTGACCACGACCTTCTTCCTAGTTTTGAGAGATAGTTTTAAAAGAGAGACACAGAAAAATTATCCATTAAAGGGATGTCGGGACAAGTACTTCGGAAAACCTCTAAATTACACATATAATAAGAGATATCATGACTAGCAGTAGCAGTTGGTTTTAGGATATTTAGTGAATAAAGAAGCTGTACCTGATGGTGAAATTACCTCATAATTTCAAATCATAATTCTTTTATGAAAGTTAAGCTGAAATTTACAGTAGGATTCTACCATGACTTTTGCCATTCTCCCTTAAGCAAATAGTAGCATTCGCGACATTTACTGAGAACAAATTGCATGCCACCCACTGTGTTAAAGCCTGAATCAATGTACCCTAGAAACACTCCAAGTCACATGTGTTATAAGCACATCACAGATGAGAAACAGATCAGGAGAACTGATGTAAAGTAGACTGGCAACCCTCCACACATAAACACACACATACCATAACTGGCTGTCAAAACCTAATTATCTCACTGCTTGAAAATCAAATCAAGAAGCAAATAAAGCATAAAATTCTACTCAGCAAGAATGTCAGAGTGTGGCATTTCTGAGAACCAATATTCAGTTTGCAAATACAGAATCCTTAGGTATGTTTCTAGCAGAAATAAAGTCCTAGCAGTTTATACAAATTGGGGATAAGTATAAGCAAACTGAAATTGCTGCAACATACTTCAGAAATCTTGCCTCTAACCTATGATGCCATTTTAAAAAGTTTTTAGAAACAGGGTATATCTGTGTAGCCTTGGCTGTCCTGGACTCATTTTGTAGACCAGGCTGGCCTTGAACTCATGGAGATCTGCCTGCCTCTGCCTTCCTGAGTGCTGAGATTAAAGGAGAATGGCACCATGCCCAGCTTAATCCGTGATACTTAATAGCATACATTAAGAACTAAGAATTCTATAGATGTCACAAGATATTTCACAATTTGGAGGGGGGTAATTAATTGCAATTGGTACAGTTAACCTTTAATATAGGTAACTTAAAACTTTAGATATAAAAGCCCAGAATAATGCCTTATATATTCCTACTATAAGAGCTAATTTTTAAATTTTTTGATAATTGTCTTTATATCCTCTCAATTTATCATTTAATAAATTCTGGGGCCAAGATATAACTCAGTGGCTGAGGGCCCTGGGGTCCATCCTGAGAACTGCAACAAAACCCATAATGCTGAGGATCGTGAATAGTAAAAATACACTGTACATAAAGGGGGAAAATACGTATGTGTTGTGAGCAGACACAGACAACATACACACAAAACCACTAAAATGCCTTATCAAACTTACCAGCAATTCTACTCCAAAGAAAATCCCCGACACTGTCCTCTCCGCTAATAAGGGTCCTCTGAAGCGTACAACTCCTGGAAATTTTTCTTCCCCAGATCGCAGCTGTACTTTCACAGGACTGCCCACGTCTACCTGGAGGCCTTTACTGAGTCGGATTCTGTTTCTAAATAGGCTGAGCCTCTCCTCACAGTTGGTAATTGCCAACAGTAACTCTGTGAATTTCTCATTTATTTCCACAACATCCTTCTCATCAACAAACAGAACTGCATGTGGTTGCTCTAAGATTTTTAATCCAATCTGATTTTTCTTGCTTTTTGCAGAAGGAACTCTTGAATGCCCCACAGAACGGTCTTGGATGTACTGTCCTATACTCCCTTTGGGTACTTTCAGGAGCTTCTGTGTTTGTTTGTCTGTTACACTGCATTCTTGAAGAAGCAGATAGAAAATCCGTTCTTCCCAGTAGGGTGAAGTGACTTTCTCTTGGCTCCATAGGCCTGAACTCATTGTGACAGTTACTTCAGAACATCAACTCACAAAAAGGAACCACTAGGAAATCTGTCATAAAATCCAAAAAATTCAACTCACTGGAAGTCCCAAAGCAAGATTTTAGCAACCTGGTGTCCATGCTGTAAAAAGACAGCAAGTCAAAGTGCCTGGCAAACAAGCAAAACAAACTTTAGACTCCATTCAAAACAACCTTAAATTAAAGCTAAAGATTTTAAAATCTCTTTTGACTATACACATATATAAACATCTCAGAGAGCAAATTGGCACATATAATTGTATCCACTTTAACTGCATTTTTTAAAAATCCAGTAACAACGCATCCACAGACAATAACAATAGCGTTTCAAAATTATAATGTTTCAAAATTATAATCAGAATCTAACAAAAATTTTAAGGCTACCGTCATACACAGACTTTCTTTCTTTTCTTTTCTTTTCTTTTTTCTTTCTTTCTTATTTATTTTTGGTTTATGTTTGTTTGTTGTTTTGAGACAGGGTTTCTCTGTGTAGCCCTAGCTATCCTAGAACTTGCTCTGTAGACCAGGCTGACCTCAAACTCATAGAGATCTGGTGCCTCTGCCTCCTGAGTAATGGTATTAAAGGCATATGTCACCGCTGCCCAACTGAGATTTTTTAAAATTTTAAAAGGTAGCATTTCCACCTTACTTGAATGGATAAGACACAGTATTTGAGAAAACACACATAATCTTATTAATTAAAAAGGCTACTATTTCCAAACATGTAACTTAAGTAGAAAGTTACATATTACACTATTGAACATCTTTTATCAATAAAAATGACAATATTACATTCTGAAACTTCATTTATAATTCATTTATCTGTATGATTTGTTTTCATAATGGTACATTATCTGACTCAATGTTATTTTTTATATATTTCATTTTTATTTACATGCATATATGTTGTATCCATGTGATTGTATGGCACATGTGTGTAGGCACTCCAGGTGGCCAGAGGAGGGGAGGGTTGGATCCTCTGGAGCTGAATTTTTTGTTTGTTTGTTTGTTTGTTTGTTTGTTTGTTTTTTCGAGACAGGGTTTCCCTGTGTAGCCTTGGCTGTCTTAGCCTCACTTTGTAGACAAGGCTGGCCTTGAACTCACAGAGATTCACCTGCTCCAGCCTCCCGAGTGCTGGAATGAAAGGCGTGTCACTGCCCCCAGCTATCTCATCTCTGGCGCTGACTTTACAGGCAGTTGTGAGCCACCCACCATGGGGATAGGACCCTGAATTCATGTCCTCTGTAACAGCAGTACAAACTCTTCACCACTAACCCTTCTCTTTAGCCCCTCAACTTCTTTTTCATAATCTTGTACATCTTCTGCTTATAAAAGGATAAGTTATCTAGGTAATTTTAACTCTTCTTATAATCATAAGTATTAAATATCATACTCTAAGTATATAAAGAATATTTGAAATTGGTTTATAGCATCAAAATTTGGACTATGTAATAGTGACATACTATGTAATACTGATGCAGATGTTTGTATCTAGAAATTGTGGGGTTTATGCCACAGTTTTAACTATGTATAATAGGAAAGAACATACAAGTGATTATTTTACAGCTTCAGTTTTTCATTTAAAACAATTATACAGCCTCATTTTAAAGCCTACTTTAACTGATGATTTAAAACAATATAATTTCAAATGCTGTATATGACAAGCCCATAGCCAACATCATGCTAAATGGAGAAAAACATGAAGCAATCCCACTAAAATCAGGAGCAAAACGAAGTTAACCACTTTTGCTGCACATGAATACCACAGTTCACATGTAAAGGTGCAAGGACAACATGTAAGAATTGGTTCTCTCTATCCACTATGTAGGCTCCAGGAATCAAATTCAGGTCATCAGGCTTGACAGCAAGCATTTTTACCTGCTACACCATCTTGCCAGTCCAAAATCTACTACTGTGTAGACCAATTTAAAAATAAAAGTTAAAAGAAACTTAACAGTTAGAACGGAGATATCCTGCTTGGCTAGATAATGCTGATTCTGGAAGCCATGATTATTAAACAAAAATCCCAGTGTCGAATGTAGGAAACCTCCTTTTGACCTGTCAATCAGGGAGGTCCCAAAGGCCCCCAAGACAATACAGACTCTTGCCAGTCTTCTTGGTTGTCCACCAGAAGTAGATGATAAGACTCTATTGCTGAAGATATCACATTCATTAGCTGTAAGATATAGAGAAACCAAACTAGAGCTGGGATGAACAATTCCTCCTGATGACTAGCTTTTACAGTGCTAAAACGTGCTATGTAGGCTTCTGGGCAGAGTAGGACACCAGTGGTCTTACCCAGCTGTGAACCCAATAAACTATAATACTAAATCAGCAGGCAAGACATGCCCACTAGTGGCACGACTATGATGGGATCAACCAACCATGCTCAATGGTATTTGAGGCCTGCTCTGCTAGAGGAAATCCATGTCAGGTATTATAAACCAGTTCAGAAACCCATGGCATAGGGACTAACTCCCAAACAATAATTTTTTTAAAAAACACAATTACATTCTTTCAATTTAAGGGCTTCATTACTTTTCTTTCTAAAAAGAAGATTTTCTATATATCTCTGCAATAAGAATGTGGCTGTTTGGTTCCCAAATATAGTATCTGTTTCATCCTTCTTTGAGATGGATGAAAAGTAAAAATGAATGCTGATCCAGCCCTGTGACTGAAGGCAGCAATTAATAAATATCAACCCACTTTATTCCTCCAATTTAAATCAAAGACACTTAAAACTAAAGCATCAAACTTTATTAATTGACTCAATGATGAAGCAACATGGATATTCCATACACAGAGTAATATAGCTCTTAGAAAACACTGTTAGTGAACTCGGTGGCTGGTTCTTTGATCACCTCCCCCGGGGGGGTGCTGCCTTGCCAGGCCACAGAGGAAGATGATGTAGCCAGCCTTGATGAGACCTGATAAGCTAGGATCAGAGAGAATGGGAGGAGGTCTTCCCCTGTCAGTGGACTAGGGAAAGGGCATAGGAGGAGAAGAGGGAGGGGGGCCACAGCTGGGATAAAAAGTGAATAAATTGTAATAAATATATAAATAAAATTAAAAATTTTTAAAGAAAAAATAAATAAAATCAGCCTGTACTATTTTAAAAAGAAAAGAAAAGAAAAAAGAAAAGAAAAGAAAAGAAAAGAAAAGAAAAGAAAAGAAAAGAAAAGAAAAGAAAAGAAAAGAAAAGAAAACACTGTTAGGTGATTAAGTATTCCATCACAGTAACATTTTCACAAGTCATTGTAAGTCCAAATTAGAGGTTCGGGTCACCCAAGACAGGCTAAGGTAGGCACTTTTCCAAACCACCACAATTTAAAGCATCTGTACATTTAGTGAGGATGAAGCAATGGCAGTATGAGCTTCTCTTCCTGCTTCCTTTTGTAATGTGCTCTTTAATTCCACTTGAGGGCACTGTCTACTTCAACAGAAACAATCAATTTATATCTGCCACTTACATAATACACCTGTGGACAACTCACTCTTAGCCCACATAAACAAAAATCCCTCAAAATGGCATCCAAGAAGCTATATAACCCCTTAATATGGCTCCGTGCCTCTGAGGCACCAACATAAAGTGTTTGGGCTTTTTACTAAAACGCTATAAATACGTCAGCATTTTTCAAGCATGAAAATTACTTTTTTCTCGATCACTAAGTTATTATTAGGAATATAAATTATTTTTAGTGAGTCTCAACATAGAATGCTATTTATTACTTTATTAAAAAGCTTTCCACCCTATCCTCTGGCTCTCTTGCCCGTTTTCTATAAATCACAGTACGTATTTATATGTCCTTCTTGCAACCAGCCATTTTCTGTGAATTCCTACAATCTGCCTCTGACTCTTTTTAAGGCCTTCTTGCTTTCCAATTTACTGTTTCTGATCACTTCTAAGAAGTGAGATGGTGAGCTATGTTTGTGTGTCTGAAAAAGCAAAGCAACAAAATAAAGAGAAACAGACAAATTACTAGAAGGGTCATGAAGAATAAGATGCATGAGGCCTCATTACAAAGATGTTGTTGAGACTGCTCCCAGGTAGTAACAAAGAAGTAAGTTATTGTTTAAATAACTCTTAAAATGCATTTCAAAATTTTTGGACAAAAACATTTCATACCTATTTTGTTGTTTTCTTTTTTTTTAATTTCTAAAAGTTTCTAAAACTGGATATCTTTAGATAGTAAGTTAGAAACTGCCTATTGGTTCTCTGACAAGTGTTAATTTTTCTGTTAATTGTTAATTTTGTAATTTGTTAATTGTTGTCATTAAATTAACAACTAATGCCACAATTTGAAATAAAAAAAAAACATTAGTGTTAATAGAACATTATCAAAACAAAACAGATCACTGTATATGTTTCAGGACATAATATTTTAAATAAATTTGATCACAAATCTGCCTTTTGCAACTCCTTAATAGAGGTAGTCTACATTTAAAAAAAAATACAGTTCATGGCAATAAATAGAAGTTTTTCAAACACATTTTTAAAGTGAACTAAAAGAATGATGAATGTCTGCCAACTTGTTGCACAAGTGAACCTGGGTTTATACTCAGTAACAGGACAGGTCACAACAGACAACTAAATTTGTCAAAGCAAACATTACAAAATACTTTTTTGGTATTATCCAAGTATAAGAAACATGCATGACCTTCCCTGTTTCAGAAGAAATATATTAAGAATATCATTGAGTGGGTTAGAGAGATGGCTCATCAATTAAGAGCACTAACCACTCTTCCAGAGAACCTGGGTTCAATCCCCAGCACCCACATCACAGCTCACAACAGTCCGTAACTCCAGAATCTGACACCCTAAACAGACATATGTTCAGGCAAAATGCCTAAGCACATAAAATAAGAATAAATAAATAATTTTTAAAATTGGTTTGAAACACATTAAAAGTAATTTCTTTTATTTGCAAATAATAAAGTTGAACAGAGAACTTTATGTCTCATTCTAGACACACACCTGACAATAAACCAAATGACCATTTATCATCTCAAAATATTAGCAATTACAACAAAAATGCACTAACACATCTTTCTTCCTACTGTAGTAATGAATATAAGGGCAACATTCTCATTCCACTGGGATCTATACAGTAGTTAAATAAAATCTTATAAAAAATGCCTCCAGACTCTACCAAAAAAAAAAAAAAATCAATTACATTGTGAGTTCTTTCTAGATCAGGGTTTAAATTCTGATGGAGTTGGGATTAGACACTGGCCTTTACCTCTTGAAGGTGTGACGACTGCTTTCCACCCACTCTGCTTCTGCTTTAAAGTACAGGTCATGACTGCTGTAACACAGCAAGTTCACGGTGAAGAGGAGGGGTTAGTGTTAAGGGAGAGACTTCCAAGTGTGCCCTCTTGTTACTTGGCAAATGGAATCACTGTAAAGGTGGGTATATCATAAACAACTCATCTACACACTGTCTCATGCCAGAATGGGTGACAGTAGTCGTGTATATTTATTTTTAATTACTGAAGTACTGAAAGAAGAGTATCAAAGAGCTGAAAAACAGCAGTGTAGCCTCAAACTGTTCAGCTTCAAACAAGAAGGACCAGAGGCCTTTCTTTTGAGGGCACTAGAGACCAGGCAATAGGAAAGAATCACAGATCTGCAATCATTATCTGTTTATGAGCTTGTTGACAGCCTGAATGCTGAGTAAAGGAGGGTTTCATTATATTAAGCTAAAAATCATTAAACTAATTGAGGGTTGGAAAAAAACAAATGTTGACCAATTCCCAATGAAGGAAATAAAAAGATGATCAAGACATAAGTCCCACAACATATACTAAAGATTACAATTACCAAGCTCTAAAACCCACAGTACAAATGGTCATTAGCTATATAAATATGGTTAACTGTTTAACTGTTCTAGACTATAAGACATCTTGATGCTCAAGTGGTCAGACTGTACCATCCCTAAGAACCTCACAAAGGCAGGTATAATCAAGAACTTCTGGCATCTTCTGAGGCAGCCTGCTTGTTCTAAAATCCACAGGAAGTCTTCTAAATCAGCATAAAAATTACAATACTAAATATTGCCCAAATCACAAACGGTAAAGAGGTAAGCAGGCTGGCATGGATACTCACAAAAAGAGAGAGACATCTTTTTCCAAATGCTTCAAGTCAGTTAAAATGACTACTTTAAGGAAAAAAAAAAAAAAACTCTCATTAAAAGAACAAGTTGTTGCATACTTAAACAGCACATAGAAATACAGAGATTTCAAGACCAGAATAACTTGTGACACAAGGACACAGTCCCTAAAACAAGTGGGACTTACAAGATTCAAAAAACAATAGTTTGGCTTTTACATCTGCAGTCACATCGGGAGGACAGGAACAATACTGTGTCCTGTGATTTAAACCTAGCCACTATACCCTAAACCGTGACTTCCCCACTCCTTGTCTTTCCTGAGCCTAGATCAGAAAGCTTGATTAGCTTAGGTGGTAACAGTGAAAGCCAAATGCTATTCCCTTGTCCTATTTAAGTGACTAAAAGTTTCTACTACATTAAAAATAAGATTCAAGAAACAAAAAAAAAAGAAAAAAAAAAGATTCAAGAAACAGAAAACATGACTTTTTCCTAAAGTATCATTAATTCTCTGGATTAAAAAAATCATAATCAATTTTATACTGTGCTACTACACATATACATAGAAATAAATAAGAAAAAAAATGTCACAATTACGAAACCCAGCTGTTTTGAGAGCCACTCGAAACTGGCTTCCTAGAGTCTCACACCACTTATGAATGTTAAAAAAAATAAGGAAACCGAGAAAGTTAAGATCATAGTATACAAACCAGGAACAAAATACTAGTTTGATGAGCAGGATAATTCCTGCCCTCTTTCTTCATGTATTAAAGACTTCCTTAAATCAATTAACCACAGTTTAGGTATCTTCTGTTTGATAATGTTATTTTATGTAACAAGTTCTTGATCTTATTAACTCATCTCAAAAGTTACCACTCCAAAACAAGAGGCTGCCTTTGAAAGAATACCTTAAATTTTGCAGCAGAACATTAGAGAATGTTCTGGATAATGTCAACATTCAAATTACATGAGCTTCACTAAGAATTTCCAGCAAATCATTTTCTCTTAATACTGTTCTAGTGCAAATCCACCCACTTCCCAGTGGGGAGCAGCAGGCTAA